TACTAAATAAGATCTATTGGAAACATGCAAATAGAGCATAAAAGACCTCCAAGAATGTGTTTTTAAAAGCACTCTTATAGTTAGCACAGCACAAATCTTCCTGATTGTTTTTTATTTAGACAAAATGATGGTGAGACTATTTTTTGTTTGTTTTTTTGTGGTTTTTTTTGTTTGTTTTTTTTTTCTTTTCTTTTCTGTCTCACAAAAACCAAGTGTTCTCCAGCAATGAAGCAACGGAAAAAATCAATACTTGCCATGTACCATGTAACCAATAGAATAAGGGGAATGATTTATGTATGGATGGATGCAGCCTGAATCAGCTGGGGCCTCGTACAGAGAGCGAAAAAAAGAGAGAGGAAGAAACAGAAAGAAAGAGAGAGAGGCAGGAGACGTAAGGGAGCTCAACTGCAGAGATTATTTCTAAAGTGTGGCTAGATTTTCTTTTCTTTTTCTTTTTCTTTTCTGCAGCAATATTACCCATGTACAGCTCTGTAGAACATAGGCAAGCCTGCAATTTGTGGACATGTGATGGCTCAGCTTTCCCCTCTTTTCCTCAGAGTCTTGATGCCATGTTCGTATTAAGGTGCACTGGAAGGGGGAACGATGCATGGCTCGAAACCCTTCAGCCTTCCAGTCCTCTCCATCCACGCAAGGCTAGTGATGGTTGACAAGCACTAGTTGGCAGAAAGTCAGATTATCAACAGGATTTTAAGCATGCACACATATCCAGCACTGCTTCCTGAGAAGACCAGCAGGAAGGGCTTACAGATGGAAACACTCTGTTCCTCAAGAGTTTCTGCTGAAAGTAGTTTGGCTAACTGGAAACCCAGGGCACTGCGGCATTTAAAGGTATTTAATCCTCAAGGTAACTTTCGGTAGCTGATAGTCTTTTTGAAAGCTTAGACATGAACTGTAGTTATGTGCTGGTCGTGGGAGGTCCTACATCAGAGCTGGGTACATGTCCTATTGTATACTGAATTCTAATAGCTCTGACTTTACACTGGGTTAATCATTTGCTTTAAGATATCGCCAATGCGTTTTTAAATGACAAAATGCTTTATAAAATTCCTACTCCCTTCTTCAAACTTGTAATGAACCACATAAGACTTTATCAGAGGTAAATCTGACCAATTCTTTGGAGTATCTTTATTTTTAAAAATGTATTTAAATAATCCTAAATTTATCTTTGTGGGTTATCTTCTCTATACATTATATTTTAAAATGTAGGAAGCTTGACAGCATTATATTTCCATCAGTATACTGAATTGTGTCCTTTACTAAAGAACACTGATGCTATATAATTGTTACTATTATTTTACAGCCTTTAACTTAGATACAACATTAATATCGAAGTTAGGCAGTTCCATAAAATAGCCTGTATCCTGTTTGTGGTTAACTACACCACACTTAACATACAGAAAGGTATTTTATATATCAAATGTTTCAAAATAATGACATTTTAAGCTTTGCTTAGTTTGGAGTTAGTATTGTTAGAACTTAAATACTATTAAAATAGCTTCTATCATCAGTTGAAAATGAATTATCATAAACTCTCTTGATAAAATGCCTTGTCATTTAAAAATAGAAATGCTTAACCTTACATAAATTATCTTGAGCTCTCATATCAAAATTTCATGTTATTTTTAAATGTGTGTATTCATAGTATACTAAATGGCAATTTTTAGCAATTTTCTACATTTACATTGATTAGCTAATTTTTTCCTTTCACTTATCACATCTAATAATCATTGTTTCTGACGTGTGCTTAGCTCCCTGTTTATATTGCAGAGTTCTGCCTTTATTTAGAAGTTGGCTTTGCATGCGTAGAATAAAGGCTTAGAAATAAAGTGCAGATACTTAGAAAGATATAAGAGCTAATTTTCATAGTAAAATAAGTCTTATTTTAAGTGACTCTTCATGTTTAATACATTTATAGATGTTATTGAAGAACAGTTAAGCTGTAGTTTCATTATTATATATCAGTAAATAATTTCATGTCTTCATTTAAATATGTGGTCATTGAGAGATTGGATCTACCCTATTATTTATAAAATTATTATGGGAAAATTTCCAGGCAAACTGAACAAATACATCTAACTTCTTTCCCGTGAATAAAATTAAGAATAATAAAAAATGCAGCCTGCAAGTAAAGTGTACATAGTAATTATAATACACATCTGATTCACTAAACAAGCAAAAATTATGCATGCTCATTTAAAATGGGGGAGACCAAGTAGACATCTGCTCCCTCTCTGTGTGAGAAAAGATGAACAGTGTTTTGTACAATTTGGTCATCGTTTTCCCTCCCACTCTTCTGTTGCCCCAAACAGGTAAAACAACTGGACCTGCTACCGTCTTTACTCTGGCTTCTGCTTCTTCAGCCAAGCTGCCTCGGTGTGGGTTAACAACGACAGAAATCTGGAGATAGTCCAAATGGGATAGAGACTGTGAAGCTCAACGCTGCGGGTGCCTCAGTCAGGAGGAGCGTTCTTAGCACCCTACCAGCAGGTATGTGCTTACCAGAAAACTAAAGCCTGTGGAAGCCAAAAAGCACGAACACCAGGGAGCTGCTGTTGAACTGTAAGGTAAGCGCATCAGGACCTGACTGCAGGTTTATTTTTAGAGATGTGTTACTGTCACTTAAGAAAAACTGTTATCCATAGCAGAGACCAAGACCAAAGGCCCGCTAAAGACCGGAGAGTGTTTAATGAGACCAGTCAGATCTGGAATATTATTTGAGACGGGCCTTAAAAATCACAGAAACCTGGGGTGTTAGCAGACAGAATCCTGGCCTCACAATGGGAAAAACACACAAAATGAGTGACTAAGAGTAGGCAACGGATAAGTATTTTGAACAGTCTAAGAACTGCAGTTCATCATTGGCTAACAGAGTCTCAATATAGGCCTTTTGTTTTAAAAGTTTATTTTTATTACACACAACTTTTTCGAGTTCTAATGAAAACCAATACTCCTTTTAATATTCGTTTTACCCAACATGAGATTAATTTCCTGTAAATATCTAGAACTAATACTCATAAATGAAACTCAAGTCAGCATCTTACATTGTGACATAAAAGCAAATCTCATCATAAGGAAGGATCTTCAGTAAATACCTGCCATGTTTTATTTACCTTTATCAGTGGTTAAAATTTCACTGATGAAATACCCATTAAAGAGAAAATCAATATCTGAGCTTAACTGCCTGCTTTGTTTTAATACCTCAAATTATTTTAGAAACCTATTAGCATAAATAACTCACAATTTGGGAAATAAAATAATGAGAGCTTCATTTTTTTATTCTACCATTCATTAAAAACAAGATAAGCTGAAACCTGGTTTTCCTTAATAATGACTTATTCCATTTAATAAAAATTAATGAAGGAACCAAATTTAAAGGTCTTACTTTTAGTCTGATTTCATCATTGCTTTCAGAATAAAACTGAAGACACTCTATTGTTAAAAATAGAAATAGCATTAGTTGTGAACAAGAGGTGTACCCCTCAGACCTAAGAGATAACTTGCAAGCTTTCCAGAAAAGAACTGTTTCTTGCTCACTGCATTTCTCCTCTGCCCTCACCCCCAATTAGCCTGTAGCAGCCAGAGCATGTTGAATTAATCTAGTTCAATCTGAGCATAATTGGATGGCAAATTTCTATTTTCTAATCTAAACTGGCTCACTGAAACCACATAGAGCTTAGACTTTATTTAGCAGAAATGCTAAACAGGGGCAGGTGGTGATGCACTTCTGCTCACTGACATACTGTTTAAACACAGGTACCTGTACATTCCAGACCTTATCGAGGCTTATATAAAGGCACAGGCAACATTCAACAGAAATAGTGTAAAGACGGATGCTCAAGCCCACACCTCAGCTAGTTCTCCTGAGGTTCCTTGGTCCTTGTCCTGGCTGTTCACATTTGCATCTTTATAGATTATGGGAAGCTATAGATCCTTTCGTCTCTCACAAAGCTGTCCAATTCCAGCCACAACCTCAAACGGTTTTACTGTGTGGGCTGTCTCATTTATTCAAGCAGAATTTTTTTCTTATAAAATCTAAATGGGAACACATCCTCCCTGCCCACCACAGGGAATAATCCAAAAGATAGGAGGCTCCTAATAAAACAATTAATTGTGATAAATTTCTGGTTTTTAGTCCTTCATCCAGGGCTATTTCCATGGCAACACTCTCTCCTTCTATTGTTGGGTTACTCCTCATTCACACAGCAGGTTAAGCCCAGGGCACCCAGGGCAGGCTGATGGTCAGCTTTTATTTTCTCTGGCCCTTCAACAAAGGTTAGTTGAGGTCACCAGAAGCCAAAGGGTAATTACTTTTCCTCCTCAGGGTTAAAGGTACACAGATTGCTATTGGGACAACTGTATGGGTGACCTTCAGCTTTTAATGTTCAATCTTCTTTTCTTTCATCAGACTCATAAGTATGATAAAGCAATCATGGTGCTGTCCCATGCCTAAAATTCAGAGTAGAAAGTCAAACATCTTTCCTAAAGCTAACAGACTTTAGCATGATACGCTCTTGGAATCAGTTTGGAAAACCCAATGCCTAGACTGTCTCCTATCACTTAAATAAAGAAAAGAAATCATGGCAGTAAATGGCACCTGGGCATGGGTTTTCCTCTTCAATTAATCCAATATTCTTAATTTCCTAGGCTTTAATCATTTTTTCTGAGGGCATGTTCTTTAAGGCTGAGAAGAAAATGTAAGTTTTCCTCCTCCATCGGGAGCTCCATTTTTTCCCTTTAAGCACAAATTCTTGTTCCCACAATAGACTAAGAATAAGCTAGATTAAATGAATGGTCTCTGTTTTCTTATTTATTCTTAAAGAAAGTCAGTCTCTAGATAATTGGGAGAAGAGTAGCCTCTGAAACTCAACTCTTAAAATACTTTGCTCCTTTCATTTGAAGACCCATTTCAGAAGCATTCTTTATTTTAATCTGAAATTTCAGATACTTGATTGCCAGGTCCTCAAAGAAAGGAAACAGCCACCCGCTAGAATGGGTTTTCATTTCTCTACCACCAAGGAAAATGCTTCCAGGTCCCTAGACAAGATAGGTTTGCAGATGGCTCATCTCACAAAAGATACACAGAGGGGTTCTGCATCCCTTCTAGGGGAAAAGTCCAGAGCCACCTGGAAAGGCCCACTTGACCCGAAGTCTTAGCCAATAGAAACATCTAAGATGTCGCCTTGATGGGAGGGGCACCCAGGAAACAAAAAGTAGACCCTCCCTTCACCCAGAGAAAAGGGAGAGATTAATTTTTCCCATTTTCTCAGGTTCACCAGAGTGTGATCAGAGCAACCAAATGGGATTTTCCTCTGGCCTCTGCCTCCCTTACCAACCTCTCTGCTGCTCAGAAACCTGCTAGGAAGCCCCCAGATGCACCTTCTAAGGCTGCCAAACTACTCTGCTCCATCAGTTGCTCAATCTCTGTGGCCTGACCTAGCCTCCCTGCCTCAGCTACTCTGCCTGTCAAGCAGCCCTCAATCCCCTGTGTATGGCTTCCCTGTCTCCTAACTAATGTTCTTCCCGCTAAATGGCAATCATCTCCTCCAGTTCACTCTTCTTTAAAAGAGTGGTTTACAATTTAGTTTTCAGGATTTTCTCCATGTTTTATCCTTGCTATGCTACATCAAAATAAATACATATAATACAAATACATATTGTATATTTTATACCTATTATGTATCCTGTACATAATTGTATTATTAAAGTGGTGTAAATTCATCTAAATATCTGAAACCCATTAGATAACAACTTTGAGACAATCTTTTTCTTTAGTCTTTTTGAGACAGGGTCTCCCTGTAGCCCCAGCTGGCCTGGAACTCTTATGTAGACCAGGCTGGCCTTGAACTCACAGAGACCCATCTGCCTCTACCTCCCAAGTGCTAGAATTAAAGGTATGCACCATTATGCCCAGCTACAACAATTCTTTAAATTAATCTCATTTACAAATTCGGAGACCTGTATATTAGGATTTGTTGTATAGTTTCCCTTGATATGAATCTTAGAAAGTTCTATTTTTTTCTTGTCATTTCAACATTTCTACAAAGTCTTTGTAGCTGTCACTTTTAAAAACAAAATATTTTGACATCATCATATCCCAAGCTCCACAACTTATCTCCTTCCTCCTCCCAGTGCTAATACCTGCTGTCAGTAATTCATTATTAAGGAGATAACAGGACACCAATGATGGCCATACCAATGATAATATTTTAGGAGTTCTGAGTCTTCAAGTCCCATGGTGTACAGTCATGAATACAGATGGTATTGAGAGGGAAGTCATATTTGGAAAAAGGAGAAATGATCTAAGAATGCAAATGTCACCATTCAGGATGTGACCTGGCTGCTTATTACCCAGTGAGGGAGGAAAGAGAAAGATCTAGGACGGTCCATAGCTAGTTGACTGCAGGGCCTAATTTGGGAAAGAAATGGCTCTAAGCTTATTTACAGATCAAAGCCATGGGGAGCATTGTGTTCTCTGCACTACAGCAGCTGGTGAAGGTGCAGCTGTCCACTCTTTTTCTGGCTGTAGGGTAGTTACCTGGGGCTTCAAAGAGTGTCAGGGAGAATAAATGTGCAAAAAAGTCAACTTTAAGAAAGTTCTCTTAGCTATGGTGGCACACACCATTAATCCCAGCACTTGGGAGGCAGAGACAGATAGATCTCTGTGAGTCAAGGCCAGCCTGATCTATATAGTGAGTTCATATTGAAGTTTTAAAGTCAGTGGGCCAAACCTGCCCTTGACCAGTTAAAAAAGATCCCCAGCTGAACTATTTAGTCAGAAGCCATGCATCTCCAACAACAGCATGTCAGTTTAGGCATTTTTGTGAGGGAGGTATTTAGAAGCATCATCTTCTTGGATTCTGCCAGACCACTCTTTGAGTGTTCTCTGAGCCATCAACAAATTAAAAGTAAACCACATGGGATGTTTTAGGTCAAAGCGTCAGGCCACACAAAACACATTACACATCTTCATCTTTTATTCATTTCAAAGCAGGCACAAGTATTCCTCTTTAGGCAAGAAATCTAAGCACTTGCCCTGAGCAGCTCCCTACTAGTTCTGGAAATTCTTCCATTTTTTCTTACAGTCTAGTGTCACTGTGTCTATATAGTAAGACTTCCTCTTTTCCATTTTGTAGAAAAAAATGCTATGGAAAGTTCAACATAGAGGTATTTTCACAATCCAGTGTGGCCTGCCTCCGGACTTGTATCTGCATGTGTGGAATGTAAGGCTATCTCTGAAGGGACCTGCAGCAGACTTCTCCAGCAGTTGTTGAGTAGTTACACAAAATGATAGGGAATTGGCCTGGCCCAGAGCACCAGGCTCTGCTGCCAAATGAGTCATGAGTGTTCAGTGCTTGGCTTCTCTTGGTGAGGTGACATCCTCAGGCAAGGAGCACTGCCCAGGCTGAACTGAACTAAATGGGACATGTGAAGATGACCAGCACACAGAAATTTTAACAAACATACTAAACACAGATTTCTTAACCTCAGATCAAAGGTACTGATTCAATAGGTCCCTGAATCTGTTTCTAACAAGCTATTAGGTGTTGGCAATGTATCTTGGCTG